GCTTCCGCTGTTGTAGGACTGAGAGGTATGTGACACCGACATTCCTGGCAACAGCATTTCCTCATTCAATCCCCCTTCACAGAAAATGAACCAACACTCCCCCAATTCAGAGGACACAACCATGCCATGTCTCATGCGCAAACGACTTTTAGTACACAACATATCGCAACCTGACCTATGTCAACATGAGTGCAATGTAGCGAAGTCAAATAAATCAACCTCGCCAAAACAATGAGTACAAGAATTGCAAAATCGACACCACCAGGAAACACCAAACTTGAACAAATCAAATGCGCCCCTCCTGAGCCTCCGCTCATTCCTGCCGGAATACAACAAACATGATCACTCAATGTCTCAAACTGACACATACTGTAAGTGAAAATACCCCGCAACTGCTTTTGTCACCATCATGCTCATACATCAACGAAAATCAATGAGCTCGAACAAACAAACAAAATACAAATGTGGAAAAACAGAAAGCAAGTCAGTGTCTCCTGAGCTTCCGCTGTTGTAGGACTGAGAGGTATGTGAAGCCGACATTCCTGGAAACATCACTTCATACTTAGTTATTAGATACAAAAGTCGCCTTGGCTGATTGAGAATTGACACTTGGGGGGGGGGCAAGATTGACTGGAACACTTGGCGCTATCTTGGGTGCAAACTTGTGAGTGTTGGGCAATTGTCTTTCGGCACATACCCAATGTGAACCATCTCTGAAAAAGAGTGAACCATGGAATCCTCTGTGCGATTGTCTTGCCTCTCCATGATTGCTGTGTCGCAGTGCAAAACGGCAAAATCGCTGGTCCTTCCTCGACTTTTGCGCATTCTAGCGAAAGCGTTGATCTTGGTGTCTTTAATGAGTAGCCGCTACTTCACAAGTGTCCCCGTCACAATCAAGCTCACCAAAGTCAATGTCCTAAAAATACGATTCTGCAATATGATCAGAAATGTATTCCTGATACTGTGCATGCGCGCACGCCCACACACACACAAGTCGCGCCTCCGTCACCATAGGGATTAGTAGCACCGGTTTCTCCTCACTCATACGTTGGTAATTGGTTGACTCCCGCTGCGTTGGCGGCGTGGACAGCAAAGTGGAGTGTGTTGCTTTGTGGCATCCGACAGCTAGCCCAGCACATCACTGTAATGTTATTTTACTTAACGATGCTTGACCACAACGGCCAGTTTAACGTTATCTTATGAATATCGGGAGTTCCTGGGCCTCCTGGCTTGCTAAAGCAAGAACAAACTCAGATAGCCAACGGTAGTTTCCATGATCAAAAGCTAAGCCTATCGAGCGATCATCATACGGATCTCTCCTCACTGCAGAGTTGTCACCAGCCTCAGACAAGAACAATCTAATGAGCGTCCTCCCAAAATAGTAGAGGATGAAGATGAAGATCCTGGCCAGCAAACAACTAGCCAGTTGCCATCATGGGGTACTAACAGAAAATTGCCGAACGCTGCTGTAGT